TCAACCGCATGACAGGCCAAGAAGAGTCTGCAATAAATTGCCCGTGAAGAATGGAGTGCGGAAAATATTTTAATTTATTGTGTGAAAGTAAATAAATAGAAGCGCATACTCACAAACACACACCATAAATGCATATGCTCAAATATATAATAAATGTATATATATATATTCTAACGTACATAATTATATGCAGCCCTGACACTTGATCGAAAACCTAAAGAATTGCGTAATCCGCACTGACGTCCGAGCAGCTAAGACCTAGCACCGCGTCTGCTTAATGCGGCGCTGTTATAGTTATTGTCTTAAATATTATGCGGCATGAAAAATTAATAGCTTGCATATCATTAATATGGCACGGGTAGCAGTAGAGATAATTATCTTGTTACAATTACATGGTGATAAATTAGAGCGTTTCATATAATTTGCCGTTAGCTTAAATTATTGTTGTATGGCTATTTTGTCGGCTAACTAATAAAGAAAATAAGCGCATTAAACTCGTAGCATCCAGTACTCGCTTAATTATTAAGTCATTAAATGTCGCGTATACGCCCAGGTTGCAGTACAGATACTCCCAAATGGCATTGTTTATTGGAAAAGTTCTGTTATTATTTGTGGTAATTAAATTGCACATGCTTATTATGGTAATTTTATTAAGTGTTTTGTGATAGAATCTTATAAGCTACATAAGTATTTGAACCAGGTGGAGATCCCGCTGTAGCGAATTGTGTAAGTTTGATATATCGAGTATATTCGAATATGTCTTTTGAATATAGGCATTATTAATTGAAGAAAGAAAACGTTAAACCTGATTATGGTAAGGATGGTCTAGCCTTCACAAATGCTGAAGTTTCCACAAAACATCATGATTTGAATAGTGCAGCTTGTAAGACTTATAAGATATAGTTTTTCAATCGTAGCCATTTGTTAAGATATCAATGTCGCTCATCGTTCCATTGAATGCGATATTCGCGGTGGCCAACCGGGCCATATATCTTTCGGAGGACCTTCTCTCGAAAATTTGCAACTTCGACTCATCAGTTGTTGTCATCGTCTAAACCTTTGCACCATATAGCAGGAATGATAAGTGACTAATGATACCAATATCATCGGCATACGCCAGCAGGTGTAAACTCTTATAGAAGATGGTACCTTCTATATTTAGTTCAACGGCTAGAATTATTTTCAAAAAAGGGAATCGCCTTGTCTAAAACCTCGTTTTGTATCGAACGGCTTGGAGAGGTCCTTCCCGATTCTGACGGAGCTTTTGGTGTTGCTCAACGTCAGCTGACACAGCTGTTTTAATTTTGCGGTGATAGCAAATTCAGACATCGCGGCATAGAGGCAGCTCCTTTTCGTGCTGTGGAAAGGAGCTTCGAAATCGACGTGGTGGTGTGTGTCGATTCTCTTTTCACGGGTGCTTTCCAAAATTCAACGCATGGTAAATATCTAATCAGTTGTTGATTTTGCAGGCCTAAAGCCACACTGATAAGGTCGAAACAGTTTGTTTAGGGTGGACCTTAATCTTTCACACAATACATTCGATATAACCTTATACGCGATGTTGAGGAGGCTTGTCCCACGGTAGTTGGCACAGATTGTGTGGGTAGAGCACACTTATGTAAGCTCCAATCGTTTGGCATGCTTTCCATATTTTACAAAGAAGCTGATATAGTTCTTCTTATCAGTTCATCGTCGCAGTGTTTGAATAGCTCGGCCGGCAATCCATCGGCCTCCGCCGCTTTGTTGTTCTTCAGGCGGGTAATTGCTATTCGAACTTCTTCCTGGTCGGGCAATGGAACGTCTGCTCCATCGTCATCGAATCAATGCCACGGCGTCTTCAAGCAGTTAAAGATGCCATTGGTTTTCCTTCCATAAATACCTTGTTTTATATTAAGTAATGGATTTTTTAAGTTTATTGTTAAAAAAAAAAACAAAAAGATTAGAATAAAACTGTATCAACACATTCTTGTGAAAAGTTTTTGTACTTTCCCATCAAAGAATACGGACGATGTATGCAGACTTTTGTCCGCCCCTCTACATATTACATTCGATGGGTCCTCCAGGGCATTACGAGCTTCATGAAAAGCTTAATTTACTCTTTTTGGGTGTAGATACTAGTCTATTCTTCTAATTCAGACTCAATGATAAATACATGTAGTTCATTTCGGTTCCCATCTTCTTGCAATAGTAACAATTTTTGCTAAGTTGCAACCGAAATGACTGTTGAACGTGACTCAATGAACTCTGCTTGTATTGTTAAAATATATCATGGGTTAAAAACTTTATGTATTGTGTTTTTAATTCGAAAAGTGTACAACAGTATCAAGCACAAGTCCGCGCTAATCTTCAGTCACGGCTGCAATTGCTTACAAAAGTATAAATCCCGCCGCCATTTTGGTATTACAATTGTTTGTTCAAATATAGCTCTATTTGGCAAAGCTACAATTATAATACATTAATACATAGTACATGCAAGCCTATGTAAATAACCCATTTGCTTTGTGCGGCAACTGCAACTCCAGTTGATTTATTTTCAATTACTGTAAATATTAGATTAATATAATCACTTTCCACATCAGCAAACATTTCAAATAGCACGCAAATTCCATATACGCTTGCAAGTGTGTATGTGAGTGCGCGTTGTGCCGAATATTTGCGTACAAAGTTATAGTGACATTCGCAAGCCATAACCACAAGCATTTGTTGTGCAAATGAAATTAAATCCATTTGTTGATTTAAATTTGCACAATTTATTGTTGTGGTCACGCGCGCTCATATCCAGGCGGCGCATGGTGATATTTGTATGCGCGTATGTGTGTGGCTTTCTATGCATGTGTGTGTATGGAGTATGTAGTAGTAAATTTGGCGGAGATAATATCGAATTTGGCAGCAAAGTGGATTAGAGTGTAGCGGAAATTTGTCTTTATTTATAAATATGATTTTTTTCGCTCGCGCCAACACACACGCCCAACAGTGACTAGGCGATTGCGTTCGTTGGGAAATATGGAAAATAGAAAATTTAAAATTTATGACAGTGAAATTTATTAAACAAAAGCGGAAATGAATATTTTTTTATTAATATTTATGAATATTTGTATCTAATACTTTAATTGTTTATAAACAACAAACCTTTATATAGACAATTAAACATACATAATACAGTTATGTCTGAACTTGGTATCCCCGAAAATCTAACATGGCTGTGTAAGCTGATGTTGAGCAATTCCAGAAGCACCGTCAGGAGCGGGATGAACTTCTCCACACCGTTCGCAGCCAAATGAGGCTTCAGATAAGCAGACTCCCCTCGCCGGATTTTGTCAATCTACTCCTGGAGAAAGTAACTCGAGCTGCAGAGCTGAATAGATAAGGTGCAAGTATGTACTCTGCAATTGACGCCAAAGCGTAAAGAGAAACGACGGTTGCGTCATTTTAGCGGTAGATGGGAGCCCTTGCTAAAATTAGGTCATTTAAAGGCTTCGGTATCGGAAGATGCACAGTACGCAAAGCACAGATACCTCTCAGAAAGTAACAAAACTGGTACACCCGGAAGCAGTTTGTCTCCGTAGTAACAGAATAGGTATGGGGTTATGCTCTATTGGACCTACTCCATTGCACTCATACGCTTTAAGGTCCGCCGGAGCTGTTGGATAATTAAAAGCTCTGAGTTGTATGCGACGAGTAGGTCCCTAGATCCTTGAACACACACTTTTATATAGGTTCTGTAGATGAGTGCCAAACCGAGAATGGAACTGAATACGAACCTGTAGGAGGTATACCAAAGTACGAGCATACTGGATGGAGAGTATAGTGAGTGAGTATAGACCCAGTCACGCACTTATTTCTTAAGTCTGTATGTGGGAGGACCCACTTGTTGTGCTTCACCAACTAGTTTAAGGGTCGGTCACCGTTAGATCACGACAATAATCGGACCCATGCACCCGACGTCACTCTGAACTGGCAGTTTGAAAAAGGCTGGCGGCACCGAAATCGCCTATGATGTCGACGGAGGGCGCGCCGTCTTCAAGTCTGCAGTTGGTGGAACGTGAAAACTTCCCATCAACAAGGAGAGCTTTGAGACATTTCACTAACAGTGTTTTCATCGGATCGCTAGCTAACCTTTAAAAGTTTTGGTGAATCGTTTTCCTCAGTTTTCGTATGGGAGCATAAAGAGCACTCTGCATAAAAAGGCTTACCGGTATATAAGCTGCATCAATTAAGAGAGAAAGAGATATGAACATATTTTTTACTCCAGTATCGACGTAAGGTGAACGAAACTTGATGTGTCACATGATTTTCCTTTTAGTAGCTTAGTAAACTAATATAAATTTGTATATATATACGAAGAACTATGTTTATACCTTATCTAATCGTGAGACAAATGTTCAAAAATAAACATATCACACCACAACTAGAATAACTCTTCTCAGTGAATATTCAAAATAAACAAACTGCCATTTAAACTTAAAGCCTTAATCATTTGCAATATAGAAGATGTCAAATAAAGCCAGGATACACAAACGATCTCCGGCTGGATTCGTTCCCTCTTTTGCTACCGTTATGCTTACCTGTCTGCAATAAATTTGCGCCATAAAAGCAAACCAATGTCAAATTAAATTTATTGTTTGCCAAAAATAAAGCAGTTCATGCAATCTCAGCACCACAAACACAAAATAAACCGAAATGAAAAGAATCAAAGCTAAGCGCACGAAGCCAATAAGAAACACATGTTCATAGCCATATAAACACCCATATCAAATAATTACGTCCAGCAGAGCGCACACAAGAGTAATGCGTTATAAGGGCATACGGGTCGGCTGCGTTCAACGGCCAGACCAATCAGCCGATATGTGCAGCAATTGACTGATTGCACCGCCTGCCAATACGAGCATATCAGACAGCTCAATTTCTGAGCACGTGACTGGCGGCGCTACCACCGCAAAATTCGGAAAGAAAGCAGCGAATATATTGAAAGCAACAAATAATCAACGTTTATTACTCACCTTCGTGCAAATGATCGAAACGACATATTTTATCTGCAAAGTAGGAGAGATATCGCATTATAATAGTATTAAATTGAAATGGAAAATAACTTGCTTTACTCTTATCTCTAAGGATAGAAGTAAACAAAGCACACAAAAAGTGAAAAAAAAACGTTTAAAAATTCATATCTGGTGGGCTTATCTAGCTTTTACCTGGCCGAAAGCTAAGTGTCTGCAGAAATATTATTGGCCAATTGCAATGCATGTCAATTTCAACAAAAATATACAATTTCATCTAATGTTCTTGAAAGAGTTTTTGAGTTTTATAAAGGAATAAATTAATACTAAATATTACCATTCGTATATTTTCCAATAATGAAAGTGTTTCACATGTCCATAAATAATACTTTCCTCCGGTTTAATATTCAATAAGCGAGAGAGAATAGACTAAACGCAACAAGTATAGCGGAGTGACTATTTTTCAACTGCAAAAACAGATATTGAAATGTCAAAAAATGGGCAAAAGCAAGTCTTTTGAGAAAATATGACTCTTTATTAAATACAAACCAATTTGGATCTAAACTTTTACATTTTACAACAAGTATGCAACACTTAGCTCGGAAAAGTACATCGGAAAGTTGCTGTAAACTCGCAACATCACCGTGATATAAGAGAAATAATAAAATTAAGCGAAATCTACGGCATTAAGCTCATGTCCAGCTGATAAATCTATATATTTAAATAAAGTTTCTAAAGATCTTAATCGGAAATCTAAGAGGTTCAAAAACGAAAACCAATGGAAGAAATCCCGATTACTCTCCTTGGAAAAACTTAAAAGATTACAAACACCAAAAACTCAGGAATTTCCCATTGAAATAAGTGCTGTTAGTTGGGCCAGTGATAACTAAAGAAAAACAAAAGTATTTTCGGTTTATTTAGCCAAAATACTCTCCCTTTATAAAAGACACGTAGATTTTCCTACTATTTCCAGCCAAAAAAGCGAAGAAATCTCAAATTGCACAAACCATGTGCAAAGTGAGGTAATAAAAGTTTTGTAAAAACAAAACGACCTGATTACAGCCGGGATTCTAAAACAGCTTCCTCCAATAGGAAAAGTAAAAAAAATAAAAAATTAAATATGGTATTAGAATTTTGACAAATAAACATAAAAACATAAAAAATGAAATATTTTATGAGAATTTTTTATTGTAACAAATATACGTTACCAGCTGACGCCGCAGCCGTTGTCCTGCATAAAATTATGTGTTTTGAAATGAGAAGAATGTTGAATTTATATTGTGTTGAAAATCATTTATTTGCGATTTTTCTAAATTGTTTTCAATGTAACGCAGCTTGATAAAAAATATGTTTTGGTTTCTGTTCTGTACAGAAAATATGGCTTTCCAACTCGTGAGCACATCACGTATATCTGGCGGTGTGAAAAACATAGCATTTCCAAATTTGTGCCACACGCTATGCGACGATCCTTGTGTCCGGTTGATTGTCATCTGCTGCGTTTTCACTGGAAACGGAATAGGTTTGAACTGAATTGGCGAATCGTTGGACCTCAAAGGAATTCGTAGAATTAAGCATTCTGCCTTTGTATTCGATAGCTGCGTCACAATCAGTCGGGTTCCATGCACACTATGCAGTAACTCAAATTAAGTTTAACCACGTACATACATTAGTCAATATCAACCGATGTTAAAAGCATTCGTGGTTTTTTCGGGTGGAATGTGTAAATTTGTCCTAGTGCATTAGTTGAGAATACACGTGGATATCAATCTACTGGTTTGCCTTCCTTTCTATGTAACTATTTCTTCGACGATGTATTCCATGTATTATATCAAAGCATTTCCGAATTGAACAATTTTCTCGCAAACTAATAACAGACGCAAATTGAGGAAGAATTCGTTAAGGTAAATTTTGTTGCTGGTGGTTTTCCACTGTATTCTCTGGGTTGAAATGCAYTCTTTGGCCATTCTCCAAATTAACTGCGAGACGCACAACAGTCGGAAAACGTTCATGAATTGTAAAAGTAAATATCCTACAAAGCGCTTCATTGCAGTTCACGTATCAACCGTATCGCTCAAGATCAATAACCGCCATGTTGCTTTCTTTGATGACGTATTTGATCGATTTCATCAAACTGCGTTTGCGAAGTTGAAGCGAAGTTGATATGAGTTTTGAATGTGAATTAGACAATAGTGGTGAATATAGTACGATACATGTGTTGTCAACTTCGATATTCACTCTTTTTAATTCATTTCCAGTTTTTGTTTCCGAAAGAAAAGCATGTGGATAGTGTTTCGCGCATTTATTGTCAGACCTACAAACCGAAAAGAATTGTAATGTTCGCAAGGTCCATGAATCATATTGGTTTTCACCGATTCGAATAATACTGGATCGGGAATATTCGCAGAAATGATTTCCTGAATCTGATCTGGTGTAGCCACCATACACCATCCAAAGAAAAAAGAAAACCTCTCTCTTGCCACTCAACAGAGTTCATCCAGCGTGTAACAGCACCATATATAGCAATATATGATGATGCCAAAACGAACGCAACCTCTTCGTGGTATCGTAACTAATTTTAATTTGTAATTGAGCATTTTGTGTGAAACATACATAAAATCCAAGGTTCGCGTTTAAAACACAGTTAGCTTAGCTAGTCTCGAGCGCACAAGTTCTCATGGCTGTATCTTCGAAACTATTACTCGGATCAATGGGAAAATTTAGGACAATGTTCTAGAGCTATTGTAGAATTTAATAAGATAATAATTGATACTTTGAAACGCGTAAACCCATGTGACCCCTTAGAAAAATCTCATAAAATGTCTTAATAAAATCATAGAACGAAAAGCAATAATTCCAACGCATTAGTTTGGGTTTCGAGTTAACCAATTCCACAATTGATTAAATCCACAGAATTACACATATTAAAAAAAACGTTTTGAGGAAATAAAATTGTGCTCTTACGTGTTTTGCAAAAGCGTCCGATAAAGTTTGCTTTTGAAATTGAAAATTGATTTTAACGAAACATGATTATATCATAAAATCATATTTATCAGACCACTGCTTCCGCGTTAAATAAAGAGACTAGTATTCTATTCTGAGAGAAATGCGACTTAAGAATATTAATTGGTCATTTGTTAGCGAACCAGTGGTATCCATCGAAATTAAATTACTTATCTATAAACAAATACTTGGAGCGATACAGAGTAATGGTGCACCTCTGTGGTGATCTAAGCGTAATTTCGGTTAACGCAGAAATATCAAACAGAATTTATTTTGAAGTAAAATAATTTATTTTCAGTGCGGTAAAGTCACCAAAATCGGAAACTTTTGATGTAATGAAAGTCTGGCTTAAACATTTAGAAAACAACTGCTTTTGAAATGGTCAATAGCAGAATAAATAGATGTGCTGCCTTTAAGTCGATGGAAGGTGGGAACATTAATCACCTATCCGACTTTAACTGTCGACTAGAACAAATAGATTTGACGTTTAGCTACTGAAATATACGAAATTCCGTCAAAATATTATTTCAACGAAAGCATTTGCAACCGCCTAACAAGCCCACAAATATAAATAACCAAAAACTGGTTGTCTGAGTTGGATTCGTCAGTCAATTTGTGCGGAACAAACCGTGCACACATCTTTCGTAAGCCCAAATGTTAGGGCAAAATATGATAAATCGATGTTCTAGATATGTTCAATTCTATCTTCATGAATTCAATGATGATTTCGGCTGATTTTTGATGAACTCAAGCACAGTTTTGATGGAATTTCCGGTGATTGGCCCACATGTTTATTGTCCTTTATGTCCATATCATCGCCATCAACTTGTTTCATCAATTGAAACGTTTTGGTAAAAGTTTTCCCAAATCTAAGGCAAGACTTAATGTTGACTTTTTGTTCGAAGCTCATTTTCGCTCCGATAACATAAACTAAATACTAACACTTAAAACATAATAACTTCAATTCCAATCAATGAAGCATCATGAAATTCTCACTGGACAATCGATGCAGATAGCAGATTCTTACGCACCAGTGGACATATAGTTGGCGCCACCAGGGGGTCCTGTTTAATTTAGATCACACCTGGTATATAGGAGTAGCTCTTGAAGAAAATCGTATACTCTACAAGAAGGCGTAATGTAAAAAAATGTTTTCTAAAGTACACAAAACTTTTCACCTGTTCTTTGTAGTAAAAACTTTGAATATTCACCGAATTTTAAATATAAGCACTTTGTGTGCTTCAAATCTTGCCCTGCTGAAATGTTTTTTTTTTTTTTTTTTTGCGTACACGTTCATTTCATTTATAACTTCTTTATCAGCTTTTTAAGCTCACCCTAATGTATGTGAACAAACCGTACAGTGCAATTTTATTCGACCAAAAGATCCAGAGGTCCGTTCACACTGCCTACATCAAACGCCCACTTACTGAAAGTACGATTTTATACACAGATATACATATATAACTCACATCTGTAAATATATTGCCGCCAAAAATAAAAATATGCAAAAATATTATAATTTTAATTTAGGTTGGCATAGCAGGTCAACACGTGTGATGGAGTGGTGTGCAAATTTGCATAAGTTTGCAAATATGAATGTAAAAAATCCAAATATTATATTTGTACATATAAGTTTTATATGTAAGAATATGCTTTTCAAGCGACAGCAGCTGAACAGCATCCAGACGTTCATGAGAATAAGAATTCAGCGCACAACGAGTGCATTTGCCATAAAATCATAAAATTAAGTGCCTTTTCCCAACAACAGCAACAACATTTTACACATACATAATTGTTGTTTTAGATATATGTACATATACAAATATATTATGTGTATTCAAATAAATAGATATAATCATGCGTGGGTGTCACTATACATTTACTTGTAAAGCATTGATTGTATGCAGGCGCCAGCAAAATTATTTCTGAAACCAACAGCTGTATCAAATTGTAATAAAAATTACACACACCCACACATACATACTATATGTGTATACAATCGAACCCACATACCATATTTATTTTGTGACACAGCG